ATGTAATGAAGTGTCCCAAAATTTAACAGCTTAAAGTGACAAATATTTTTTATCACATAGTTCCTGTACCTCAGGAATCTGGGCACAACTTAGCAGTGTACATCAAGGCTCAAGGTCTCTCAAGGTTACAATCAAGCTATTGGCCAGGGCTGATATTTTAAAGACAAATTGTAGCTACTGATTAATACCTACAGCAAAAATACTAATTTTGCTGGATATTTTCAAACTTTTTTTTCAAACATACCAAATAAATACAACATCCTCCCATTAATAACAGTGATTGGGATTGTGGGGGTGATGCATTCCAACAATTAAAAGAAAAAAAAAATAAATCTGTAATAACCAAAAAGTCCAGTCCTTTAATGTCTCCATAATTAAAAGCTAGAAGATATGGTACAGTGGCCAGAGCTGAGGCACACTACTCACTATTTAAACTAATCATGTCCCTATTATTGCCAGTCAAATAATGCAAATAATAAAAATATCATTGATTGAGCATCTCTATGGGCAAGACAAAATATATGAAGCAACAGTTTTTCAATCCACCATCATTAGGCAATGCAGGACAATGATCTCAGATACAATAAACAAAGGAGGTGAGGCATCCTATGGCCCCTGCTTATTGACTTGAGAGAGTTTCCACACCACAGTATCTCCCAAACCCAGGGAGACCAAATAGCTAAGGTATGTGGGACATAGAATTAAGGAGACAAGAGATGCAGAGAACAAAAACTCCCAAGATGTGCAAAAGGTCTTCTTTGAGTATTTCTTGCCTATTGGTCAGCATGCATGTGTGAGGGAACTACCAAAGGAACCACTCAAAAGGATTTTAGTGCTGGGCACTCACAACAGAGCTTGAAATAGTAGTGCCTGTTCCCACCAGGCACTGCATAGAATACACGGGAAGGTCTTACCTCAGGATTGAGGAGAAAATTAACCTTGGACTATTCTTGTCCTTTCTGACAGTCTTAACAATAAGATTCCAAAAGAATAGTTTCCTAGTAACTTTAGAAGGAGCTAATTCAGCTCTAAGTCTTTATTCTTCCACTGAAGTTCCAAACATCACAGAGTAGAGACAAGCTGATCCTCTGTGCCTTGTCTGAACCCCTAAACAACAGAAACCACTAGAGACAATAAGTGTTTATTGTTGTTTTAAGCATAAAGTTTTTGAAAAATTTGTTACCCAGCTATAATTAATACGACTTAGTTTTTAGTACACAGATCTCTGAATTAACAAAGGCAGTGTTTAAGGAGCTGCTCTGATATATGACTATAGATCAGAAGACACTGAGCTAGCTGATAACATAAATTAATAAAACTTTTGGTAGTCTTAAGAGAGGTAGACTTTGTTTTGTTTTGTTTTGTTTTTAATATGGGAGAAAATGAATCAGAGAAGTCAGAGAATGAACTGTAATGATTTTTGTAGCAATGGCTCCCCACAAGGAAGCAAGCCATACAGTATCCAAATCCTTGGGTAGTTTCCCCCATTTCTGACTCTGAGGTTGACTGTGTAACTTGCTTTGGCCAATCAGATAACAGAAAATGCGATGCTAGAAAAGATTTGAAAAGCACAAAAGCACATTAATATTTACTGTCTCTTGATTCTGGGAACCCTGAGACTTCCATGTAATAAAGCATGCTCTAACCACCTGGAAAATAAAAGAACATCAGTAGAGATTGGTCTAGCCAGTCCAACCAGTCCAGCCATCCCAGCTGAAGCCATCCTAGATAATCCAGCCCTTGCTGAGCCAGCCCAGCCAAAAGAAATGCCAGCCATCACAGAAAGTTGTGAGAAATAATAATTGTTTAAAGCCATTAAACTTTATGAATGGTTTGTTATGAAGCAAATACCAATAAATGTAGTCTCTAAAAAAATCTGTAACTTCATAAAACTTCAGATGCATACTCTTTTAACATTTCCAAGAATGCAGCAAACCCTTCTTTACACATAAACATCACAGATTCCTGCCTTCCTAGCCCCATTTTCCAACTGCTTCCCTTATAAAAAGAACTCACCTATTTGGGGGGTGGAGGTGAGTGTGTGTGTGTGTGTGTGTGCACCTACGCACACGCGCATGCATGCGTGTATGTGTGTGTGTGTGTTAGGAAAATCATTTATTTCCCTGGCTTATCTGTTCTGTCCAGAATCCAAGCTTGTCACCTAACCTTGTCAGCTTCACAATAGCAATCATTTCCTGCAACTCCATTGTTTTTAAAGTAGGTGAAATGAGGAAGAACCCAAAGTTATGACAACGTTGTTTCAAATACATTTTTTCTCCTTCATTCCAATTGCCTTTGACTCATTATTTCAGTACTTGATTGTTTTTTGCTTATGTAACTATATATTATGAAGTCTTCCAGGCCTCCAGTCTCTCCCCTAAAAATCCACCCTCCATATTGTCACCAGAGTAATCTTCCAAAATCAAAATCTTTCAGTGGGTTCTCATTCAAGTCTACTTAGCTAAGGACAACAAAAATATACTCAGGATTCATTAAATGCTTCCTAAGCACTATGTTAACTGCTGTGCATATAAAGTTGAATGAACCAATACCTGCTCTCAAAGAATTTCCATTCTGTTAAAGAAAGACTGACAAGTAAAGAGATATTTTTGACGTAATGTGAAAAGTCCTGTATGGAGGAAATCACAGAGGAAGAGAATTTGGCAAAAGCTTAGAATATCAGAAAGTCTTACCAGAGTTGATTAAAATTAGCCAAGCAATGATGTGCAAAGGGCTGCCAGGCAGAAGGAACAGCACAGCAGAGACACAGAGACTCAAATCAGCAGGCTCCATGTAGGGAACTAACTGCAATCAGTTCTGCATCATTCCAGGTTTAATTTTGAGAGGTGGTATAGGAAAGTTGTATCTTAGAAAGGGAGAAAAGGGCTGTGGTCAGTATTACGCTATCCCCCAAAGGTGTCTATATCTTAATTTCCAAGAGCCTGGAATGTTATGCTTCATAGCTAAGGGGAATTAAGATAGCTGATGGAATTAAGGTGGCTAATCAACTGACCTTGAAATAAAAAACTATCCTAGATCATCTAGATGGGCCCAGGGTATTCAAAGGTTTTTAATTATGAAAGAGGGAGGGAGAGGTCTGAGTCAGAGAGAGATTTGAAGATGCTACAGACTGGATTGCAGTGGGAGAAAAGGGAAGCTTCTAGTAGCCAGAAAGGGAAAGGACATAGATTGTGCCCTATAGCCTCCAGAAAAATGCAGTTTTGGCAACACCTTGATTTCAGCACAATAAGATTCAGCTCAGACTGCTGACCTCAATTATTGTGATGATAATACATTTGTGTTGTTTTAAGCCCCTAAGATTATGGTAATGACACAGCAGCAATAAGAAAGGAATACAAGGACCAGGTCACAGAGGCTGTTATATGTTTTGTGCTAAGTCTTCCTGGGGGCAACGAGGGGTTTAATGTAAGGTAGGGAAGTGGCATCAAAGATAAATTAGATAAAAGATGAATTGTTGGGATGAATGGTAGCAGGGAGATGTTATAAGGTATGGTAATCACATAGACCGCCCCCCACCCAAAAAAGAGTGGTTTAACTGGACGGATTAGGTGTACTGCAGAGATAGATAAATAAGAGAGGACCAACAAATTTCACTAATAAAATCAGTAGGACTAAGGGAGCAAATGAATGTGGGGAATAAGTGGAAAGGGAAATATCTAGGAGCATTTCTCAATTTTCAGCTTGGGTAAATAGTGGTATTGTCACTGAGATGGGAAATACAGAAAGAAGAATAGGACTTTGTTTTGTCCTGTTTTGGTGAAGGGGATGGGTTGAAATTTGAGTACATTGAATTTGAGATGATTGTGGGACATCCACACGGAGAGCTGGCAGTGGACTATATCCCATGGTTCAGTTTCAGATTTAGGAGTCCTAAGCATATGAGCAGCATCACAACAAATAAAGCAGATGTAAAAGTAGAGTGTATTGATTAAGAAACTGCCCCTGGGGACACGATTTAATAATGATTATCATTCCTTAACATTTTATTTTTTTAAAAAAGAGTCATTATTGGCAAGGTTGTTATAAAAATTAAATGTAGTGAGTATTTAGTACAGTAACTGGAGTTAGTAAATTCTCAATAAATGTTATGTATTATTACTAAATGTCCAGAAATAACAGAGAACAACAGTGGGCCAAGGAATCTGAAGGCTAAGTCCAAATTCCTGAAATCAGGTACAGTCTCTGCCCTTAATATACTCACAGTCTACTTAGCTCCTTGAAGAAAGGAGTCATAGTTTACTCCCTGCTGAATTCCCAGTGCCCAACTCAATGACTGGCCCAAAAGAGTCAGGCACTTTATAAATTTGGGCTGGATAGTAGAGAGAAGGAGAAAGAAGGAAATAGGAGAAACCATGGGAGGAAGAGAAGAAAGTGGAAGAGAGAAGAAGAGAGCTAGAAAGAAAGAGGAAGACTATAGGGAGATGGACAGGAGGAAGGAAGAGAGCCCATAAGGAAGCCGACGTATATTATGTGAGATGTGGAACGGTAAGCGGTTTTGGGAGCCTGGGACAGGGTGTGGACATAGTGTCCATGTAGAAAGCCAGATCTCTGGCCCTAGAATGAGCTGTACAATCACTCCTGGAATTTATTTTTAACCATAGCTCCTTGGAGGCCAGGAGAAATTAGCCAGCTATGTGCCAGCAAAGCTTTATATATTGTGATTTTGGTTTGGTTTGACTGAGGGGTGTTGGTTTCAGAGAGAAATTATATTTCAACTGTGGCCCTCTTAGGCCAGGCCCCTATGACTGTTTTCTCCATCTCTTGGAGCCCAAGCCTCAAGCACAAGGGGTCAACCCTATGAGGGCCCCGCCCTTCTGGGGCCCCTATGATCGGACTTGGAACGTCACGAGGGTGGAGCCTTGAGAACGCAGCATACTGGCCATTCCGGTCCGGTTGGGATCGAGGGACCACGAAGGGGAAGGGGTGAAAGCAAAGTCAAGAGGGGAGGGCGGCAGGGGATACAAGGACCCAGGTAGACTATGGAGTTGTACCTCAGCGCCTGCTCCAAGGCTGCCAATGTTGCTGCCACCAAGACAGCCACCAGCAGCCTGGCAACTGACACCCAGCAGTGTGGAGATGTGAGTGGCTAGAGGGCTAGTGTCACTGTCCTCCGCCGGCTCACCAGCCTGGTGGGGCGAGGCAGAGAGAGCCACAGACAGGTCTCGCGCTCCCTAACCATCGCGCCACGTAACCGTTGCTCTTCTGCTGCCTCGTGCGTCACAGCGGATGGCGGTGGCTGCAACTGGCTGGTGATTTGGAACCGAGAGGTCTTCAGGGCTGTCTAGCAGGGTGGGCCCCTTCGATTCTGACTGTAATACCCTTCTGTTCCTTAGGTTAAAGTAAGAGCAGATTAGCCTAAATGGGTAATGCCTAAAAGGAAAGGCAAAACTCACCAATTGTGTCTGACAGGGTGCGCACAAAACCCACTTTCCAGGGATCGGAGCGGCTCAACTACTGGATCTGCCTCTTGGGGTTAAGCTGCCTATGATCCCAGGAAGCAGTGCTTTATACTACACTACAAAGTTAAGTGAAAAGGTAAAGCAATTTTTTTGGATTAACGTTGGTTGTCTTTGCACTTTTCTTCTTGCTGTTAAAGTCAGGTGCTACATTATACAAAGTCCATTAATTTTCACTAACATTCACAGGAAAAAAAAATTAAACCTACATCTGAACTAAGGTATTGTTTAGAATGCATACCAAGCAACTTCATCTAGTATGGTTAGGACAGAATCAAGGGCTAGATAATTTAGATTCTTAGTTCTATCTTAATTTATAATTTATGGAAGCACATTAATTTTTTTTAAATAACACTTGATATATACCTATTTAGTAATATTTTATTTACTTAGAAATATGTTTGAAAGGTATAAGGTTATTGGTGTCAGCTGGCATTTAATTATATGTTATGATTTTAACCAATAATAACTTGGACAAAATTCTCATTACAGAACACTTCTAAATGATTTTGTTTTGAGCCTAATTTTATTTCACACACAAAAGTGAGAAAAAGGTAGAGCTGAAATAAGTTAACATGTTTAGTACTTTAACCTCATTTTAATGGAAGAAGGCTCTCCTTCCATGAAGAGACTTCATAATTTGCCCCATCCTTCCTTCCCAGTCTTTTTTTCCAACCCAGAGCCTCAATTTCTTCCAGTTAGGATCTTTTATACTTGCTCACACATACTATCTTAATGCTTCTGTGCCTTTGTTCATCTTGCCTCTCAAAGCTGGCATACTCTTTCTTCTCTTCAGTCTATGAATTTCAAGATTTTTTTTCTTTCAAGATTTTTTCCTAACTATCATAGCCCCTATTAGCTTGTATTTCCTTAGAATTTTCATTGCCCTTGGTTTGTATAATTTTACTCAACACTGTAATTCTATAATTATAATTTTATAACTTAAATCATACTGAGTAACAGTTTGTAGTTCTCTCAATCCCCTTCATGTGTTTAGTCCCCAGTGCTACCCCCACCCTCGAACCTCTCCAGTCCTTAACACAGTGACACTGAAGGAGGTTCACTACATTCTTTTTGAGAGGTTGCTTTAATTAACATTACAAAAAATTCTACAAGGAAGAATTCTGAGTGACTCCCTTACCCTTCTACTGTCTATGATATCATCAGAAATGAGTAGGGCCCCTTGGTATTTGATACTCGCCTAATAAATATGATTTCTTAGTAAAGTTTGTTTCTGGAAAATTATTTTTAAAAACAAATCCATTTTACTAGAATAGAGGGAACTAACTAAAACTATGTCAACCTCACTCAATGTAACTGGGCCTTTCCTAAGCATGCTTGAAACCTATATCATTCTTCTTTTGTGTATAAACTTAGCCTTGTCTTTCTTTTGTCTGTGTCCTCAAATATAGTGTTTGCTGTATTACTGTTTCCTCTGTCAAATATTAATTCACTTGTCAACTACTTTTTAAAAAGATGTTCTCTCTATTCTTTATTACATTAATTCTTCCCAAACTGTCTTCATTTAATTATAATTAGGTACCACACTATTTCCTTGAAGACTGAATTCATCAAGAGCTTACTTTTTCTTTCAGTACAAGCTCCTCAGTTGTACACTTTTAGTTTTTTTAAATTTTTTCTTAAAGAAAAATAATCATTTTTATTGATGATAGAAGGGTTACCCTGGCTCAGAAATGGATTTGTTTAAAAGATGTTCTTTGTTTATAAGTCAGTAGCCCAGGTTTGGTCTTGAGAAACATCTTATCATAGCTAAAAGTCAATATATAAAAGAAGTTGACAGCTATATGTCAACATCCAAAGGAGACTATCAGTCCAATCCTTGACTCATGAATGTTCGTTGTTTTCTTTACAGGAAAGATATGGGCTTCATATTTGGTCTGACTGAATTCTCATAGAATTTCATTCGTTGCCCTTTCAGGGAAACATTGATAAATAAGGAATTACACTTTATGATTTAGTCTCCTTGAGATTAAAGTCTGATGTTAAGCAAGAACAGAAATTTACCAAGGATGCTTTAAATTGAAAGAAAAGCTAGCACCCTATCAGGTTCCACCAATCTGCTCCTTTGCCCACATATGAAACACCCTCCCACCCACCTTGAGGGAGTTCTTTTAGGATTCCACCCAGCCAAGCTCCTTAGGGTTTAAAATCTGACTGAAGTGGCTACTGCCAGACAGAACAATGTAGAGGTCACAAGTTGGTACCTGCAGACAAATCAGGATTGTGGGGTCTCATAAACTGAATCAGGTGCCTGCAAACAGGGCACGTGCTCTCAGGTTTGCTGCATCTCCCACATATTTCAGTTGCCTTTCACTTAAGCCAGTTCCTGTTTGGCATTCTGTTGTTCTGGCTAACAACAACAACAACAACAACAACAAACAATAATAAGAAGAAAGAAAGACTATAAAGACATTAGGGCAACTTCTACACTGACTTCTGTCCTCCACTTTTTCCCTTTCCGAGGTTCTCTCATAATGCATTAACACCATCCTGCTATGGAAAAATGGACTAAAAACTCCCATTAAAAAAAAAAAAAGCCCTCTTGGGTACTATTTTAATTTACAAATAAAATTAAATAATTGAGCTGTTTCCTCTGAAGTAATAGATATAGAAACATGGCTATTAGCTGATACTTTCTCTCTTGTATACGTTAATGGCTATTGTATACGTTAATGGCTATTAGCTGATACTTTCTCTCTTGTATACGTTAATAGCTGATACTTTCTCTCTTGTATACGTTAATGGCTATTGTTTCTCTCTTGTATACGTTTGGTCTTTACACATATGGAGAAATCTCAATTCCTATCAATATCCTTTATAACTGGTTCTTCAATATATTGAACTTTATAATATACTTCTTAAATTTTATCCTGACTTGCACTCCAGAAATTGTTGGGTTTCTCATATTAGATAAGACCCCAAGATACAATAACTCTTTAAACCATCATCTTTAACATCTGAATTGTACTTTTATTTTTTTATAAAGTTGTTTCCATGAATCTTGGTGAAAGATTTTCTATTTTCATTTTCAGATTATTGGCGTATAATAGTCATAATTTATATTATCCCTTTATCCTTTGAATGTAGTACTTTGACCAGGGAGAGGAGGAAAATGGAGAATCTTAGTATTAGTTTTCTATATTTAAATAAATTTTATCCTATTCTCTTTCTTTTCCTCTCTTCGTTTCTACTCTGGCTCAAGGCCAGTGACTGATGGAAATCAGGGGAGGAATTAATTGAGTGAGGGTGGGTTATAAGAGTAATTCAGGTCAGCGGAGAAAAAAGCTAGGAATAAGCAACTAATGCTACTCAATCCAAATCTTTTTGTTGCTTGTTTTTTTAATTTCAAATTATTCTTACATGATTTATTTTTAATGAACATTCTAGTGATTTTAATAGGTTAATACTTAAAAGTGTAATTCATTAATTTTACATTTGTCATATTTTTAAATCTGTGTTTGCAGCTTTTTCGACCTTCTTATGGTTTTAACCTGACTGATCCTTATTGTCGACTTTTGGAAAACCAATATAAAAGTCTCCATGATCCACATTTAAGAGCATACTATAAGCGCAAAGATATCCTGAGGAGATTAAAGAAAGGTGGCTACATCACCAGCAATAATAAAGTGGGTTAAAGATTATGTCTTTTTAATCACCGTGATGGGAGTAGGGTATCACCTTTAACTGGGTCATGAGAAATAATGGAAAATTCCATAAATTACTTAGTATTTAGATCAATGGAAATTGGACAACAGTTGTTTATAAATGATACCACCTCATATCTTTTTCCTTGTAATATCAAAAGATGATTATCAAATAATTTGAAAATGTAAAGATAATTTCTCAACTGCATTATAGTCCTCTTTCTGTTTCTAATGGCACTGTATGCTTGTCAAGGATTATATACTATATACTTTTTAAAAACTTGGGGCAAAATTGGAACCTAGAAAAATCAGCTTGATAGAATCCTCATAGAACATAAGAATAGTCTTATATTCTAATTTGTATTAACATAATTATCGGTATTCTAATAACTGTAATTGTGTCATTAAATTTATTGTGTACTAAATTCCTTATCATAGCATGTCATATTAATAAGGTAATGAGATCTGAATAGAAATTCCTGTATTTTAACAATTGTAGAGATATTCTGCTTACAAAATTGTTAGCAAATTATTACTCTGAATACAAAAATGTTATCAAATTGCATATTATTAACTATTTTTCTTCCTGAAAGTGATTGCTATGATTTTTAAATTTTGTATTTATATATATATTTTTGCTATTGTTGTTTTGTTTTTTTTAGATTGTATGTAACTTGAGGGAATTGAATAAGTACAGAGAATATCTTACCAGTTTAAAATTAGACTTTGAAAGAAACTATATAAGAGAACAAGTAAGTTAAATACTTAAATTTGGTTTCTTACATAAGGTTTGGAAGAAAGTTTTATTTATATGCAAAGTATTTTCTTATAAATTTTTAACTTTAATTTTGACAAAATAATTAAATATTTTTTCCAAATGAAATTTAAAGCAAGAATAAATAATATT